ATCCAAAAACAAAAACCAAACGAGGCTAAAAAAGACAGGCTAAAAAAGTCTCAACACAAAAAAGTTGGCTACTGTAGCCAATGTCAAATGAAGCTTTATTTATTTTATTTTTTTTCTATACAACATTTTTCATTTCTAAATGTGATTTTTATTTTTATTTCGTTAAACTTAAGTTTTCTCTCTCATACATACACTAGTGAACTGAATCATTTCAGAATGCTTCATTCGTTTAGAGTAAATTGGAGAGAATTGAGTCGAAGCATGCTTCTAATAAAACTGGAGTCTTATTCCATTTTGAGATTAAACAATATTTTTGTTGGCTATAATTTACACACATTGAGATTTGAGATAGATAAATTATTTTTATTAATTGTTAGTGTTCTAAACTCTGACAATTCTTTTGCTAATATATTAAAATTAGCAATTCTCTCTATAAATATTTTTTTGAAAAAAAAAATGTTTTAAAAAAGAGAGAAAATTCTGAATTTTGTTGATACATTCTTTGTAAACCTTCACGAGACTACAACTCGTCTATTAGGGATAACTGAGGGATTCAAAGGTTAGTTGCATATACTAAATATAATCGTATTCCTTATGAAAACATCATAGATAGATTTTATTTTATTTTATTTTTAATTTGTTTTGATCGAGTATTAGCAAAATGTAAGTTGGGGGTGTGATTGGAGTCTAAATGTTACACATTTAACCCTCTAAAATACATTTTATTAGTCTATTAATTTATAATTTTATATATTTTTATATGTTTTTATATATTTTAAATATTTTATATATTATTATATTAAAAATTGCATACTAATTTACTGTGCTGCAAAACTTCACCTACTCCGTCACCTTATTTCGTTTTGTTTGTTTCTCCACAGAATTGCCCATAAACGGAGGCAACAATCAAGGCAAAGTTACACAACAAACACGAGATGAGGAAAAAGAAAGAAAAAATAGAAAAGAAAAGGAAGAAAAGAGAAACGGAGAATGGGAAAATTTAGAGTCTTAAATTATTATAAGGAACCAAATTCTTTATCTTAAGGTTATGATGAAATTCTGATCACATAATTGGGGTAGTTTATATTTAGTTTTGTAGAATTTTAATTGATTTAGGTACTGTTATATAATTCAAATTTTTGTGCAAATAATGTTTTATCAAATTATGTGTTCGCTGGTTATGAATACATGTTATACAATTGTTTTTACTGCTTATATATTAAAATTATTAAATAAGTCACACCTAGTAGGGGTATTCGCGGTTCGGTTGCGGCCGGAGAACCTTTAACTCGCCATCCATCTGCCGAATTGGCAGATTGGAAAAAAATCAATCCGCATCCGTCCGCCGGATTGATGGATGCAGATTGAGTGGACTGGCGAATTGACGGATGGATGCGAATTGGTTTAGCGGTTTAAACTTTTATAAATTTTGAACATAATACAACTAGTCAACATTTTTTTTTTTTGGTTTTGATAATAATCCAACTCAACATAACCAAAAGATTATAAAGTAAATTATCAAATACCAATAATAAATAGGTTTTTTTTAGGGTTCATAATATTAAGATTTTATAGCATGAAGGACATTTAATATTTTCATAATGTTTAAAGTCCCTCAACATTGATCCAGAGAAATTTTAATACAGAGAAATTCTTCCTAGAGAAATTCTCTCTAGAGAAATTCTGGACTTTCCAAATAATTTCTCTAGGTTCAAACTAGAGAAAATTCAAATTTCTCTGAGTTCAAATTAGAGAAAATTGAACAACATAGAGAAAATTAAACAACACAAAGAAAATTAAACCCAAAAATCCAAAACCAGTAATGCAAAACTAAAACTCCAGAGAAAATTCATACAATTTCCACATCCAGAGAAATTCTGGAAAGACTAGAGAATTTCTCTTATTACTGGGTTCAATGTTGTTTGTTAATGTGGTTGAGAGAATTTTCTCTAGATTAGAATTTTCTCTATATTTTTGACCGAACCAGAGAAAATCCCTTTAAAACTCACATTAAATCCATTTCAATATGACCACTGCAATTCAATTCAAGCTCATTCAATAGCAACAATGGCTGACACAACCACCAAACTCATCTTGATCATTGCAATTGGCATTTACATACATTTAATTACAAATAGATTAAATACATACATTTGCTTTTGTGATGAAATCTCTGTTTTTATGTTTCTGATTTCACTTACCCATAACAATTGAAGAATAAAAAAGTGGTGTAGATCTTTATTGGCAACATCGAGAAAAGCTGAATAACAAATCGCTATCTTTATCGTATATATAACATAGAGATAGGAAGAAAAATATGTATACAAATTATGCATAGAGAGAGAGAGAGAGAGAAAAGAATAAGAAAATGATGAACTGATACCAAATCGGAGGACTCTTTTTGATCCCCTCAAGACTGATTCCTTTAGTCCCATCCCACCAAGGACTTCTCCTACTCCATTCTCTGGAACCAATGCCAAGTTGTGTAAGTCCTCTCTCATCTCTCTCTCTCTCTCATATGGGTCTAAAAAGCAGTGATAATACTCAAACTTGGAACACATAGGCATACCATTCTCAAAGGACTAAGCAATGAGAGTGTTCAACTCGATTTGGAATACATAAGATTGGGCAATGCAAGGAGGCTGAGTGAAGACAAACTGGACCAACTCATCATTTGTGGCCACCTACACGGGCTTTTAAATTGATGCGTATGAGTGCCCTATCATGGTGACGGACACAAACAATGCACGACGGCGGAGTGGAGAAGGTTGTGACGAAGGAGGTGATCGATTTTGTGCGGCTGTTAGAGGATAAGATTGACAAGTTCAGTACTTTCTTCGTTAACAAAGAGGAAGAGCAAAGAGAGGAAGAGAGGGAGAAGCCAATTTGATTTGAGAAAATCAAATTTCTTTGTGATACATGGGTGTGGGGTTGAGGGGTCGTAGACATCATAAAATAATATTGTGGATCTCTTCTATTACTAAAAATGAGAGATGGACGACCTTAGACTAATTTTTCCTAATAAATACATATAAGAAAATCATGCATTATCAAAACTTTTTCATTATTTTTTTTATTCAAAAACAATTTAATTTGATTTTTTTTTTTAAAAAAATGACAAAATTAAGCCTTATATTTTCCATACAAAAATACCAAATATCAACACTTGTTATTTGATAAAAGGATTTCTAAATTGCAAATATAACAAAATATCTAAACTCTTTTTCAACTGAAAATATAAACAGAATATCTAAACAAATTGAAAATACAAAATTTTACAAATTATTAGGAGTGCTCGCAGTTTGGCTGTTCAGTTGCGGCCAAAAAAATCTCAAATCCATCATCCGTCCAAAACTAGACGGATTGAAAAAAATCAATCTACAACATTCCACTCGTCATCACCCATCCAAAATGCGACGGATCGGTTCGGCTTAGTCAGTTTGGACGAATCGGAATATCCGCTACTCACCCCTAATACCTAGTACGATGGGTCGTGCATCGGTAGTAGTTTAGTTTAGTTTAGTGGTGAAGGTCTGTGCTAAAGGAAGATGATTCGTGACTTTTTTATTTTATTTTAAAACACAATGATGTGTCCCAACCAAGACCCATCGTAATACTCACCTCAATGATTTTCTACAACCTAAATACAACAACTCTCAATTACAAAATTAATAGTGAATTCTAAATTCTAAGATTTTCTTTTTCTCACTTTCCATTTCCAAAATCAAAATCTTTAAATTAGAAACAACTTACCCTAATATCTGTGGTTCGACCCCATTCTTAACTGCTATTCTACGTAGTAGTAGTTGTTATCAATTTTTATTTAGGGGTACTTACGTGTAGGTCTTAATAAGTGGAGTTATTATCTAAAAGGTCTTGTAGGAAAAAATTGTCAAAAAAAGTCACTAATTGTAAGTTTTAACAACAATTTATAAAAATCATGACAAATAAAGTTACTAATTATCAATTTTTAGCGATGTGTGTAAAAAATAGTCACAAAAAATTATTTTTAGCAATAATTTTATTAAGACTTATTTTCAATAAGATTTGATGAGAATTAAATCTAATTATAAAGATTTATTGGTAGTTATACACTCTAAACTTTCCTACTCTCCCTTTCTCTTTCTCTTTCTCTTTCTTTTCTTTTCTTTCTTTCTTTCTTTTTCCTCAGCCTTTCGTTGCTCTTGTGTTTGTTGTGTAACTTTGCCTTGATTGTTGCCTCCATTTATACGCAACTCTCTGGAGAAACAAACAAAACGAAATAAGAGAGGTGATGGAGTAGGTGAGGTTTTGCTGTTCAGTAAATTAGTGTGTACTTTTTAATATAATAATGTATAAAATATTTAAAATATGTTTTATTACATTAATTTATATATAAAAACACATAAAAACATATAAAATTATAAATTAGTAAACTAATAAAATATATTTTAGAAGGTCAAATATGTAATATTTAGGCTTAGGTCATTTTACAAGTCAAATTAAAAAGTGTTTTCAAACATATTCAAATTTTAAATTATTTATATAACAAATTAAATTTTAAACAAGTTTTAATGATTCCAACATTAACAAAATTCAAGTAATTTGGCTGATTTGATAGCTATCCTTTGGGAATTGATATCTTTTACTTGCTTTTTTTGACAATGCATTTGGTAATTACTTAAAATAAAAAAAGCTTTTTTTTTTTAATGAAAAATTTGATTTCAAAAAAAAAAAAAAATCATGAATCCAGTCCGCATTGGTCCATACCAAACAGGTCCAAATCGAAGAAACAAATAAAAAGTGAAAGAAAAATAAGCAAATAATTTATAAAGAAGTTTACTAACCATTCTATGGCCTCGTTGGTAGAGTTGCCTATTTTAGCAAGTTATTTTAATTTTTAATTATTTTAATATGTTAAAATTTTTATATTTAAAAAGATAATTTGAGTTTTTTTATAGTTAGATGTGATATTTGTTTTAACTATTTTAGTCCCGTTTTCTTTTTTTTTTTTTGTGATTTTTAACCGAAAAGTCCTCCAAACCCAGCTCGGCAAACACCCACTATATATAATAATTCATGACACTACCAAGTATATTTTTATGTACCTATCCCTCAAAATATAAAGCAATAAGACCATATAGACTGAATAAAGTTTTGAAAACCTTAGAGAACCTAAAATCACTGTGTAGAAGAGGTATAAATTAACTTGAACTAGGCAACGTGCCCAACCATGCTGGTGGCAACATCCCAGTCTGCTCATGCACAGTCTGAAACAACGGCGGCAACATGCTATAAACTCCGGCAACATCCTTCATTGCACCACCACCAGCACTGCCTTCACCGCCACCATTATTAGCACCTGACCAGACACTGATTTTGGGCTGCAGCCCCTGCACCCCTTGCGCGTTAATCTTGGCTATCTCTTGGAACATACCGCTATTGATCATCATATAGTCTCTGACCGCCGCGTAGTTTCCATTGGCTTCTTTGAGGAGATTCCTCAAGTAAAAGCCTTGGGCTTCTGCCATGGCAGCGATGCCTTCAGCTTCTTTTTTCTTCGAGTAGAGCTCGCCGTCTGCCACCTGTTGGCAAGTGTAGAAGGCTGCATCGGCGCCTGCTTTCTGTGCTTCTGCCCTTTTTTGCTCCTCGAAGAGAACTGCTTCTGCTTCTTTCTGCTTCTTGTACAGCTCTGAATTTGCTTCTTGTACCTTTTGATCAGTTTCAAATCCTTAGCAACAAAATGATTTTGTACACAAAATTTTATGCAGAATAATGTGACGATCAGTAGTCCTTTTATAATTGCAAAATTGTCATTGCCATATAATTGCGTAAGACTCATGAACTAAGGATAAGAACCAAAGTGGGCATAAGTACCTAGAGTTAATTTAATAACTAATAATTGACTTAAAAATAAAATCAAAGCCATAAGTAAACAAAAGGTATCAAATTTTGAATTTGCCAGCTCACATCACCGCGTGTTGCTACACAATTATTAGGCCATAGAGCCTGATTATAACTAGGTGAACATTAAGGTGTGGAAACATTCTTAAATAAATTTTAATTGTGGGGATGATTTCATCAAATTATTAGGCATGCATTCCAACTCAACTATTTTAAATTGTATTATTTGGAATGTGTTGTATGGATCTATTTTATTCAAATTTAATCCTAATATCTATTCAATTTCCGCTAACATACAACTTGTCCTTTTATTATAAGGGATAACAATAAGTAATGTTTAATAAAAATATTTTTTATAAATTGATGTAACAATCGAGTTATTCCTATGATTTAAATTTAAATTTAGTAGGACAATTTCAACAAACAATACTTTATTAGTACATGCCACATTAGTTTAGTATATAAAAAAATTACGTTGCATAACTCTTTCTTACCCAAAAAGAAAAACTAATACCCTCTCATCGAGGATTCGCTTACATCTTGTAAATTAGTTTTACATTGCAATATTAAAAAAGTATCAGCTAAAGGAAGAGAAGAAAAAAAACCCTAACTTGTAAATTATTGAATTGTTTTGTCAATTGAAGCACACTTTATTGTCATGGTATAGCTTTAATTGACTTTTTTTTTTGGATTTTCATTACACTGTTTTTATCTCTAAAAGTTTCCTAAAAGTTTAAAAATTTTGAGTTAAAATTGAAAAGGTGGCATAAAAAAGCTGCCTTTCAATTAAATCAAAACTAATTTTTTTCAATTCTCATTAAAAAATGGGACACTTTTTTTATAAATCTCTTTTTGCCTACGTATATTCTATTTAGATCATATTATTTTTTTATATTTCAATAAGTCCTAAGAGTGGTATAGTTATCAAAATATTCCTAATAATATTCACATTTATAACGTAAATGTTCTGTGATGTGAATGTTCAAACACCGTCAATGTGAATATTAACTTGTCAATGTGAATGTTAACATTAATGTGAACATTCACACGTCAATATGAATATTCACATTATAAAACATGAATATTCACATCACCAAATTGTTAACCGTTCAAAAAATATTTATAAAGGTAGAAATGTCCATAAAATACTTTAAATATGAAAATTATGATTTTATAGATCAAATGTTCAAATAATAGAACTTATTGGAATATAAAAATATCTCATAGATTAATTAAAATACAAACACTTGAAAAAGGATTTCCAATAAATCTCCCTTAAAAAGTTTCAATTTTTTTTCTAAAAGCCCCTAACATAAAATTGCAGCAAATCACATTAATTAATACTAAATCAAACATTAAACTGCATTAAACATAAAATCAAAACATTAAATTAAATTACCTTAATTTCATATTCCACGCTAGCTTTGCTCAAATTCTCAGCCTTGAGTTTCTCCAACTGAGTCAAAGCGTTCTTCTCCTCCACCGCCCTCTGCAACTCAGCCTCCCTCAATGCCACCGCCTTAGCCGATTCCACCTCCGCCAGCTGGGCCAACTGGGCCCACCCCGCCTTCTTCGTTGCCAACTCAGCGTTCGCCTCCGCCACCTCAGCCGCCTTTTGGTTCTCAAATATTTGTACCTCTGTCTTCACTTTTACTTCCTCCTTCTTTCCCTCTCCTTGCCTCTTTGTCGCTATAATCTTCGTCTCTGCGTCAATTTTCGCTGCATTTTGTGTTGTTAGCCCTTCTCGTTGCTTCGAACCGATCTCACCCTTCATCTTTGCCTCTGCAACATCAATCTATACCAAAAAATTCAATCAATGCACATTGTAAAAATTGAAGTTCATCATTATTGAAACTAAAAAAACACTTTCTTGATTCATATTTATTTATTAGTCATTTTTTTTTAATAACTTTTTAGGTAGTCTTGACTAGATTATTCTAAAAAACAAAATAAAAAATTGAGTTAATTTTGAAAAAAAAAAAATTACTAAAATAAAAATAAGCCAAATTTTATATTTAAAAAAAAAAACTTGCAAAAATTGGCTTGTTTTTGTTTTTGCTAAAGTTTTTTCATTTTAAAATTTTAATTGTTAAGATAGGGATCTATAAGTAAGAAAATTAGTTTATGCTGCAAGTTTTAAAAAAAAAAAAAATAATAATAATAATTTCTAAGATAGGTATCTATAAGTTAAAAAGAAAACATAATTTGAAAAAGGTAATAAAATAAAAATAGCCTAATCAAAAAAATAAAAAAAAAAAACTCCAAAAGAAGCACAGGTGATAGGGCCGGCTATGATTTTTTTTTTACAAAGATAATTTTAAAAAATCATGAGATTGAAACTTGATTTCTAAGATGTGTAGCTTCATATCGAACAGTATTATCAATCATACCAGAAACCGTAACACTCCCTATATTTTGATAAGGGCCATGTATTTAAAACCCTAATACTTAATAATTTCTATACACCAAAATCAATAAGAAAAAAAAAAAAGAAGTTACAAATAATATACCCTGGCTTGATTGGCAGCCTCCATCTGAGTTTTCTGTCCCAGATAAGAAAAATACTCATGCCCTCTCACATCAACCAACTGCTTAACATTAGCATTATAAATATGAAGCCCAAACTGATCAAGTTCAAGTTGAACCTTATCAAAAACCTCCTTCTTAAACTCCTTAGTCCCCTTAAAGATCTGCTCCATAGTCATTGAGGCAGCGAGAACTCGAGTCTCGCCTTCGATGACTCCCTGCACAAGCTCCGTGACGTGGTTCGAGAGCTTGTCGTGTGGGGATATGAGCTTTGCGTACTTCAACATGCTCTCTTCACAGTCAACCCTGGGGCCGATCGTGAAGACAGCAGGAAGTATGAATGGGAGTTTCTCTGCGCTCATAGCCTGCACTTCGAAGGTGTAGTTGACTGGTGAGATGTCGACTCGGGTGAACTTTTGGCCCGCCATAGCCACTTCTTTTTGGCGAGCTTGATGCCGGGGATTCCGCAGCCGGTGACGGCGAGGACCTCTGATGGGCCGGCGATGAAATACATGGTTTGATTGATTTCTAGAGAGAACGAAAAAATGAGAGAGAGAGGGAGAGAGAGAGAGTGTTAGGCGTATGAGGAAGAAGTTATATGGAGAAGATTTGGAATAGGGGAAGATTTATGGAGAAGATTTGGAATTTTCATGGAGAACATTTATGGAGAAGATTTGGAACTAAGCAACTTTCTCGCTCGATCATAGAGTCGGTTTAGAAAATATTTTTATTATCACACAAAATCTATATATCTATATATTAACGCGACGTGTGAGAACATGTTATTTTAGAGATAAATTATAAATATATTTTTTGAGATTTATTTAAAATATAGATTAGTTTTTGTAGTTTGAAAAATTATAAATATCCTTTTATTAAAAAATTTCATTTAACAGAATTAATTGAAAAAATAAAATTTATAATTTATCTCTTATACATTAATAAAATTATCTAAATTATTAAATGAAACATATTTTTAATATCATTAAAAATTGTTAATTGACTTAGGGTTGGTTTGGAAAGTGGGTTGGCTTTTTGGCTTTTGGGATTTTTTGGCTATTTTAGCCTGGGCTAAAAAGCTTGGTTTGGGAAGGATTTTTTGACTTTTTGGCTTTTTTGACTTTTTTTGTGAGAGAAGAGTGTAATGATTATGGGTTGGATGTGATGTTTTGTTTGTTGTGACTAAAATAGCCTATTTTGTCTTTTGTAGCTAAAATTGCCAAAAAAAACCCACAAAACCACTTCCCAAACGGTGCCTTAATGATTTATTAATAGAAGGGGTGATTTGTTATAAAATTAGAAACTTCAGTGGTAGAATGTAATTTTCAAAACCATAGAGAGCGATTCGTATTTTAATAAAATCTTAGGAGGTGTATTTGTAATTTATCCTTATTTTAATAATTTTTTTGACTTTTTACAAAAATATATGCAAAGAAAGAAAAAAAAAAGAAGGATAGTAATGTGACAATTTGTAAAAAAAAATTGATTTTTTAAATGTTTAATATATAATATTTGGTCGATAAATGGGCTTAAATATTTCAAAAATAACTTACACTACAACATATAAGAGTTTTAGAAATTGAACTTTTTGATCTCTAAAAGTGAAAATTTTATTGCAAAAGACATTTATGATCAATTTCTATCGTCGTGAGAATAATCACTAGCCGTTTCGAAAAGTCAAAAATAATATTTTTAGCGATAAAATTTTGAAAATATAACTAATAAGTAGACTTTTAGGGATAAAATAATTTGGTTTCAAAATGGTTTATTTTTTAAGATAAAAAATTTCTTCCCAAAAGGATAATAATTTATCACTAATATCCAATTTTCGTTACTAAAAATATAATAATACTTTTCACAATAAAAATATTTAATTCCTAAAAAATAATTTTATCCCTAAATTTTAATCTCTAAATTTTTATTTTATTTTATTTTTTTTAGTGTTGTAGTGAGGCATCCTATATGCTTGCATTCATCAGTGTCAATCCCAAAAGTCGATTAGAATTTCAAAGGGATGCACCACTTTAATAACAGATGCTCATAGTTTAATGGTTAAATTACACTTACACTCCTAAGATTTGAATTTAATACATATTATTTCTTGACGTTTGAAAAATTACATTAATCTCTTGTCATTGTAATTATTTAGATAGAATGAAAATATTGAAATCAAACCCTCTTTCTTTTCTTACTTTGCTTTATTTCCTCTATTTTTTTTCCCTTTAATTTGCTTTTTTTTTTTCAATGTAATTTTCTCTATTTTTCTATCAGGAGTTATTGGATCGGAGAGAGAAAGAACGAACCTGAATCTAGAGCGAGAGAGACCCAATCGGCGACGGAGATAGAGACAGAGAAGGAGACGGAAACGGAGATGGAGCACTGTCTAAATAATTGATGGAGACGAAGATGGAGGACTATCTAAATAGTGATTTGTTTTGTTCGTTGTGTGTGAAGAGAGGAGGCCTAACTACCTCTCACTGTGCCTAAATAAGGTGGGTATATATAATACATCTCTCATTGCCTTGCTACTGGCTGAAATTACCTGCTCAAACTTAACCCAATAATGTGATAATGATTAAGTGGGTATTTGGGATTGATTTTGTAATATTTTTTTCGTTAATTTTATTTCATTTTTAGTGCTTTTAATTTAAAAAAATAAATAATGTTTGAATTGTTAAATCATATCTCGGAGAATATGAATTGAATATTTAGGCATGTTAACTACTATTTTTGCCATAA